TGCGGGGAGAAGGGTGCAACAATGAATGAATGGAATCCCAAAATCTCTGTAGATGTTCATTGAAATGAAAAATAAACAACCTAAATTTAAATAAATAAATAAAAAATAAATGCAATCATAAGTACAAAATCTTTCCAAGATGTAACAAGTTATTTACTGTGCCCTTGATGTAACAAGATGTTTATTGTGCCCTTGTTCTTTCTACTGTGGAATCTTGAAAATTTATGATTAACAAGAGTACTTATCTAGATATTTTTGGTTATAATTTGCCTGGCCTTTGTTTTCTCAATTCAACTTGAATACTTATTTTCTTAAATGTAATTTAACATTTCAGAGTAAGCCTGTGCCACCAAAAAATTGATAGTTTATTCTAGAGGAAAACTTCACTGGATTGGAAACTCTTTGAGGCCAAGAAACATGCCTGTCTCATTACTGCTTTATTTCCACTTCAATTGTTGACTTTGACTTGGCCATATGGATGGATAGAAATATATAAATGGGGTGTATTAGTCTGGCCACAAGAGAATCAACTAGTCTTGACATTAAATTGAGCAAATTCAGCAGCAGAAATTAGGAATCTTATCAGAAAAGAGGAAGCAGAGACTACAGATTGCTTGACTTTTGGGACTAAAGATTTCTGTGCGGCTCAGGGACCTGCAGAAACAGCAACAGCCACAGCAGAGATGCAACATGAGACAGAGCTGACCTTTGGGCTCCCTGGAACCTGAATTATGAGCCTTTACCTGGGCTTGCTGGAGAATTGTGGGGAGAGTTATAATTGGCAGGTCTAAGACCTGTGTTATCACAGGCCTAGAGCCACAAGGCTAAAGGTTTGGGTCCCTGTGAACACATTTCAAAATCTCTCCTAAGTGAGTGAATGTATTCTGCTTCTAACCTGAATTAAAGCCTTTTGACTTCCCTAATAAACTTTATAATAAACCTAATAATGGTGAGTATGGTTTTGTGTGGTCTCTGAGCTATTAAAATGGATTTTGGACCCTAGTAGGATTAGGTATGTGATTTGTGAAGATAATTTCTTAGTTGTTTATCTCTCTTTTGTAAAATCTTTTGATGGACAAATGCTCATTTTTGTGAGGTCTTCCTTATTTCGTCTTTGACTTTTTTGTAATTTTATTATTATATTAGAGAATCCATTATTGAAAGCGAGATCTGAACCTTTTCTCCTAATAATGTAATTTGAGAAAATTCTTCAAATAATTCAGTATTCTAGGTAATATCCTTCGTGTTCCTTTTGAGATCTATTAATTTATGTCATTCTAGTGTTTTGACAGGAAGAAATGAACAGATATGGTTAAGAGTTTAATTGACCTTTATTAAGAATTTGTGCTTAAGCCATTATAATAAAAATTAATGAACATGCTAATCAGTATTGTTAATTTAATCCGCAAGGATTAAATTTATTGTTTAAAAATTGATGTTATTTTGACAGTCTGTTGATACATAAGTACATGTTCCATCTACCCTGTGGAAACTGAAAATTATCAACTGTAAGAAATCTTCAGAGATATGATAGTACCATAGTCCTTTTAGTTTATAGCCAGAAAAGATACACATTGAAACAAATTAATTGACTAATAAAGTGATTACAGCCTTCAAAATGGATTGCATCTCAACATTAAGAAAACAAAAATTCTTAACCACTGGAACAACAGGCAACATCATGACAGATGGAGAAAAGATTGAAACTGTCAACAACTTCATTTTACTTGAATCCACAGTTAACACCCTCGGTACCAGCAGTCAGGAAGTCGGGAAACATATTGTACTGGGAAAGTCTGCAATTAGAGACCTCTCCATATTATTGAAGAGTAATGTTAGCTCTTCGGTGTTTGTAGACTAAGGTGTGTCCAATTCAAGGCATGATCTTTCCAGTCACCTGCTGTACATCTGAGACCTGGACAGTGAATAAGGATGACAGAAGAAGAATTGATACTTTTGAGGTGTGGTTTTGGAGAAGAGCACTGAACATCCCATGGACTACCAAAAAAAACCAAACAGTACATCTTGGAGAAAGTGCAGCCAGAGTGATCTTTGGAGGCAAGATGATAAAGCTTCGCATCACATACTATGGGCATGTTCCTAGGAGGGGTTATTCCTTGGAGAGGGACATGATGCTTGGAATGGTAGATGGTCAGTGAAAGAGAGAAAGACCCTCGACTAGGTTGGTTGACACAGTGACTGCAGCAACTGGCTCCTAATGTATCCGGAAATGTGATGATGGCACATGATAGGACGCGATTCAGATCTATTGTACATTGAGTCGTACTTGATGACTCCTAACAACAGCAGCAACAATGTGCTTAGTGCCAAAATTCTGTATAAACCCAGACCAGGAGATTTTTTTAAAAAATTTATTATTTTTTGTGTGTGTGCCGTCAAATCAGATGTGACTGGTACAGGAGGAGGACATTGCCCCTCCTTCTCCAGCAGAGCATCCTCTGGGATTGCAGTGCAGCTTTTTGCCACTAGGCCACCAGAGCTCCTGAGAATATTCTTTTTCAAAATTGAAATATGGCCCATTAATGACTTTAAACCAGTAAATTTTTTTAAAAGGAAAATTTAGACTAGAAAATACTAAAAGTGCAGTGCATAAAATAAGGTAAAGCATTTCTGAAAACACCGTAATACTCTGTACATAAGTTTGTACTTTCTTGGAAGGAAAATGGTTTGTTTGTGGATTTTTTTTTACTGTCAGTTGTGGTCTTAAGAATTCGAAATCCACTGTTTTAGTGGAATAGGTTGTTTTGCTAAATGTAAATGTTGGTGGTGATATTGATTGGCTTTGAGTCTAGCACGACTCATAGCGACCCAAAGCCCCTCTACAGTCATTGACATTTATCAAAGTTCAGAGAGTTTCAGGAGGCATGTTTAGGAAGTAGATCCACTCCTGCTTCCAATCATGTCATAGTATGTCATTGTTGTGACATCTAAATCTTAAGATGCTGACAAGACTCTTCCTTTCATCTTTTTTAGTGCATTCATTCATAAACTTTGTATTATGTCTTAACTGACCCACATGTGTATATTTTTGTTTGTGCTTATGCATATATTTAACATGTGAATATACACACAGATACTTGTATATGTGTACATATATATATATACTTTCCCTCCTCTTAATAGGTGCAATGGATGAGCTTCATAGTCTGGATCCCAGAAGGCAAGAATTATTGGAAGCTAGATTTACAGGCGTTGCAACTGGCAGCACTGGGAGCACTGGTAGTTGCAGCGTTGGAGCGAAAGTGAGTAAATTTGTAAAATATATTTGCCTCTTTTTTTTTTTTTTTTGTATGGTCTAAAATAGTTTCTGTAAAAGATGGACATAGAAAGGAATCATTATATCTTTACTTGAGTAATCCCATAATACAGTAGACAATATCTTCAGGAGTAGTGTGCTTATAATACAGCATACTATGTTTCAGAGATAGGAAGATTTTAGTAGATTGTGCCTTTCTATATCGTTGTCTTTTACAGTCTTTTGTATCTTCCTTCCCTGTCACCCATATTGCTATCTGTATGTCTAATTCACTGCTTTTCACTGCTGCATAAAACTTAATAGTGTGTCTTTACCATGAGATCTCTCAGAAATGTTTTTGTTAGTGTTGTTATTTGCTCCTAGAGTTGATATGACTCAGCAACTCTATGAACAATGGGATTTGGACCTTTCCCTATCTTGTGCTATTCTCATCATCTCCGATACACTCAAATTCATTAATACAGTCACTGTGTGAAACCACCTTGTTGTAAATCTTCCTCTCTTAAACTGATCTTCGTCTTTTCTAGCAGGCCCAAAGTATAGGAGATGAAGCTTCATCATCCTGGCCTCCAAGGAGCTCGTTAGTTGCACTTTCTCCGAGGCATATTTGTTTGCTCTTTTGGCAGTCCATGAAATATTCTTTTCCATCACCACAACTCAAAGGCATCATCAGTTCTTTTACAGTTATCATTTATCCAGTTTTCAAATACATAGCAAGTAGTTGAAATGGCCATGGCTTAGGTCAGAATCACCTTTGTCTTTAAATGGACAGTCTTGCTCTTTAGCACTTTGGAGATGTTCTCAACAGCAGATTTCCCCAAAACATGTTTCTTGGTTTCTTGACATTTGTACCATAGATGTTGATTGTAGATCCAAGTAAAATTAAATTGTTGACTACTTCCGTCTTTTCTCCATCTGTCCTGATGTTGCCTTTTGGATCAATGATGAGGATTTTTGTTTTCTTGATGTTGAGATATAATCCATATTGAAGGCTGTAGTCATTGATCTTTTGCAGTAAATGTTTTAAGTCCTCCTCACTTCAGAAAACAAGGTTGTGTCATCAATGTAATGCACATTGCTAATGAATCCTCCTTGGATCCTGATGCCACATTCTTATAAAGTCCAATTTTCTATGTGATTTGCTCAGCATATAGGTTGAATAGGTATAGAGAAAGGATACAACCCTGGTAACACTTCTTTCTTGATTTTTAAACCATGCTCACTGTTTGTACAGGTTTCTCATGAACGCAGTGAACAAATTATGTGTTCTGGAATTTGTGTTCTTTTCAATGAGATCTATAACTTGTTGTAATACAGACAGCCATATGCCTTTGAATAGTTAAAGGCATGCAGTTTGAATCCACTAGCTGCTCCAGGGGAGAAAGATGGACAATTTTGGGGAATTTTTACATTGAAAACTCACGGGAGGGTAAGCTCTAAATCTGTTCCAACTCAGTGGCGTATAACAACTTTCAGACAAGTTACAGTCATCAGAATACCAAAAGAATTGTGGAAGGATGCTACACGTGAGAAAGACCATTTAAAAAGACAAGAAAAATGGAAAAGTCTAGAAAGAATGTCAGAAAAAAACTCCAAAACTTGCTCTTATGCTCCAAAAACTAAAGTGAGCAGGGAAAAAAAAGGAAATAGTCGAGCACGACTCATAGCAACCGTTATGAACAAAAGGCCTGAAGCCCCTCCACAACTATTGACATTTATCAAAGTTCATAGAATTTCCAGAGGCATGTTGTTTAGGAAGTGGATGCCACTCCTGTCTTATTCTGCTGAAGTCATGGGTTCAGTCCATCTGGTTGAGGGTCTTCTTTGCTTTTGCTGACGCTCTCTACCTTTCCAAGTATGACCTTCTGTACGAAATAGCTCCTGAGCTTTGCTTCTAATAGTGTAATTATTCATGTTCCTGTTGTTCATAGTGTTTTTAGAGGTCTGCTGTTTAAGAAGTGATGGCTAGTCCTGCTTCCTAGGCTGTCTTAATCTTGGAGTTCTCCTAAAATCTGTCCACCATGGGTGACCATACTGGCACTTGACATACTGGTGGCACAGCTTTTAGCATTACAGCATTCCACAAGTTATGTCAGTATAGCAAACTGACAAGTGCTTTACTAGTAAAAAAAAAAGCATATAAAATAAAAATTAAAAGGAAATAAAAGCAGAGAGGGGAGGGGTGGGCAGGGAGCAAAATGCAACAACGAATGAATGGAAATCCAGAGTCTCTATAAACATTCATTAAAATTAATAAATAAAAGCAAAATTAGTGCATTTGAAATACAGTGTTGATAAAGAATTGTGAATGTTTCATGAACTGCCAAAAGAATTAATAAATCCATCTTTGAAGAAATGGATTTAGGATGGAAATAGTATTTAGTAATGGAAATAGTATTTCTTAGAAGTGAAGATATTTTCTTCATCTCTTGAGACACATCTTCAGGAAAGATTAGTCTGTAGAAAAGGACATTATGTTTGGTAGAGAGACAATAGTTAGAAAAAAAGACTCAAACATACCAGTGCAGGTATTTAACTTCTGTTAAATATAAGTTTGCTTATGAGACAAAGTCATTTGAAAACAACATAAAAACAACCACTAATGAGGTTTCTTTGTGATAAACACCAAATTGTCTTCAGCTCCCCATGGCCTCAAATTGCAGTACAGAACTTTGTCACCTGAAGGGTTTTGTAGACTTTTTTGAGGGATATTCTGTATTTTCAGAAACTTGTTTGCTATATCATAGGCTTTGTATAGATTTAAATTGAAAAAATAGTGTGAAATTGTTGTACAGAACAGTTATGCTAATCTGCAGTTTCAGAATACATGACTGTTTCCATATCCCTATATCTCACACTTAGCATTGTCCATATTACTAATTTTTGATGGGTCAGTAGTTATCAAATTATATCACATTGTTTTACTTGTACTACCAGTTATCTTAAATATTTCTTAATATGTTTATTGGCTTTTAGAGGATTATTCATTTTCAAATTGTTTGTATTCCTTACCAGCTTTTTGGTTAGATTGTTTTCTGAAGTAATTTGCATATATTTCTTACATCGTCTACATATTAATTCCTTGTTAGTTTTATGCTTGGCAAGTAGTTTATCTTTTTTTCTGCTTTGTCTCTTTTGTTAATTTTTATCTATCCTTGTACAGGAGGTTTTTTGTAATGAAACTTACCATTTTTTTGCGTTATTACATTTCTGAAATTTTTATTTACTCTTCATGGACTAAGAAAATGGTCATAACCCAAAGGCCATTTGGGTCGTGCTACTGTTGTGTACCATCAAGTTGGAGTGGACCTATATTTCACCCTCCAGTGGGTTTTCAGAGGCAGTAAACCCTTGTAAGAAGATTGCCCATTTTTATCCTACAGAGCAGCTGGTGGATTTGAACTGCGTACTTTGTGTTAGCAGTGCAGTTCCTTTCCACTAAGCCAGCAGAGCTCGATTTTGGGGTCATATGAACCTTTTTAATATTTATAACAATTTTACTGATAATTCGTAGTAATAAGAATAAAAGTATAATAAAAACAACTTATTAGGCATTTTATTTATAATTTAAAGATGGTAAACCTCTATAGCAAGTAAATTTTGGTACACAGGCAAAAGATAACAAAATACTATCATGTGCTTTTTAAGCATGATGAGATGGCTGAAGTTCTTATTGCATAATACTACATAAACTCATTCTGTTTGAGTAACTAACTGAATGGGGATACCATGCTCCTTTTTTATTTTATTTTAGTTTTTAGAAAACTTGTACAGTTAATTGAGTCTTGAATTTGAGAAAATTTGTGTAGAGTAATATCCTTTGAAAACTCTGAGATTTCTCCATTGTCTATTTTACAGCCTTAAATGCTACTTTCTCTTTGTGCTTATTTGTCTAATAGTTGTCCTTTTCTTTCTTGGCTCTTATGGGTAGAAAATGAAAATTGCTGGTTTCTCCGTTGAATTCAATGAAAGATAAAATCAGTTCATACAGATGACATCTCCAATAATTTTTACCTTCTTGAGAGATGATGCAGTACTTAGAGTCTGACATGGAAAAAAATGAAAAGAGAAAATTTATTTCACTGTTACATCATCCACTTAGGCCATTAAACTTTATTTTTATTTAGCTACTATAACAAATCATTGCAGACTTAATTGATTAACAACATAATGTATTTGCTTATAGTTCTGTGTATCAGAAATCAGACAAATCTTTCACAGGACTAAAATCAACCTATTGGCAGGGCTGTGTTCCTCTTTGAGATGGTGGAGGCTAATACATTTTCTTGTCTTTTCTAGTTTTTAGAAGTTGCTTGCATTTCTTTACTTCTGGCTACCTTCTAAGGATCTTTCTTTCCTTTTTCCAATGTCACATTTCTCTTTGACCTAGCCTAGAAAGATCTCTGATTTTAGAAGAACTCATGTGATTAGATTGGGCCCACCAAATAAACAACCACCTTATCTCAAAGACCTTAGCCTTACCTATATAAGGTTTGTTTTGCCATATCCACAGGTTCTGAGGGTTAAGGTATATGTATTGGGGGCAGGGGGTGCATTATAAGTACCATTGAAAATAACTAGAAAATGTTGTTGAATGATGGTGGTATAATGCCTAGGATGTTGAAATAAGTATTTCTTAGTATTGTTGTTAGGTGCTGTTGATATGAAAAATAAAATTATTAAGATCTCATGGCAGTTAAAAAAAACCCCACAACTCAGAACAGTTCATTCTATTTTTAATAAATCCCCCAAATAGCAATCTTTACTTCTAATAGTGGTTTATGAAGAAACTCATATTAAAATTAGATCCAGTGGACTCTGATGGTAGCCTACAGGTAACAGAAATACTTGACCCCACTGTTGGGCCACAGACATAGTCTATCATTTATTTTGTTATACTTTGTTTTATTCCTGTTAGGATTTTGGTTTTTTTAATGCTGTTTCTAGGGACCTGTTTTTCTTTCTTCTTCTCAGAGCCACTTTGCT